CACTCTTCCTCAGAACAAAGCAGGCAAAGGAAGGTAGAAGGAAGGAGAGTTATAAAAGAGTTAAAACATGAAAATGGAATGATTTTAGAATGGTTTGAACCTCAGTTCCATGGTACAAAAATATCAGCGTCAGCAGCAGGGTCTCCTGCTCCCAAAAATACTCACTCCTGCCTCTATGCTGCATCCAGCTGCTCTCTTGTTTTCATGGGCACTTCTGTTCTCCAGTCAATGTCTTGAAATGGAATTGATCCAGTGCAAAATAGCTCTCCTCTCCCACCCTCTTCTTTTCTCTTTTTCTTTTTTTTATCCTGGATCAATTCCTTGATCTGATTCATCACATGGACCCACAAGCTGTTGAATCAGCACAACTGAGGTTGGCACACTGCAATGCGATGGAAGAAATGAACACCAAGAGGAGGTGGGAGCAGGGGGAGGAAGGGACAGACTTGACCATGACTCCTAAAATTAGTATTGCTGCTGGATGCTTTACATCTTGGAAACATGGTCTTGGCTTGAGTACAGGGCTTGGAGTCAGAACATTTAAACTATAAACTCCCCTCTAGCCTTTGACACCCTTAAACTTTAGTTTTGCCATCTGCTGAGTGGGAATAACGGTAGTTAACCTCAGTGATGTGAAGATTTACTAATGATTGTTCAACCAATTAGCACATGAAAAATAGGAAAGACTGCTTTTTACACTCCTGCGTTTTACTGAAATTGTTCTCTCATACTTATGAACTACATTTCATTTGTAGTAAAATATTTGTTTTCGACTGTGCTCCTCCTATCAGAAGTATGTTGCTAGAGCAAAGACAGGTCCCTGTTTTTGTAACCCAAGTGTCTCTATTTTTAGTTTTAAGATGTTGGCTGCATCTCTCTCTCTCTTTTTTCTTTTTCTTTTTTTTTATTATGTGTATATATTTATAGCTTTTGCTATTGGAAGAGAATTTCCTGCAAACAGATCCATTTCTGTGGAGCTCTGCTCCGACACAGAGTCCCATGTGTTCCACCAAGAGATTGCTCCAGAATAAATGTCTGCTCTGGTTGTAAGATCAGCCTGGCGAACTGTAAACTTTATATTGCCTTCAGCACATAGTAAATTTGCATGTGCAGGAGGTATTAGTGACTGGGCATCCGATACTTGGCAATGTCACATCTGAAGATGTGAGTGACAGGAGAGATGCAGCCCCAGCCCTAGTATCCTACTGAGTCGTTTCCTCTTTGGATAATGACATTCTCAGTTTTTCTCCAGTTTTAACTGGGAGAGGGGGGGTGTAACTATCTGTATTTGCACCCTCATTTAAGGATTTGAGTCTTGTAACCATGCACCATTAAGCAGTTGCCATATCTCACCCAGAAGTAGGTGAAAGGACTTTTTACATAATATTCGTATGTGGTTTGCATTCTGAGCTGTGCGAATCAACAGTTACACTACGGGGGTATCTGAAAGCAGGGTTTGACCTGTACTTGGGTTCTGGTTCACATGCAGCGAGTAGCACTTGCTTAAATAGTTTCAAGGACTTCAACAGGACTACTGGTGTGCGTAAGGACTGCAGAATCAGGCCCCTAAGGATCCTTAGGAATGAAAGGTATCCTGTAACTGTAAGGTATTATTACGATAACTACTCTGGAGAACGCAGAGGTATTGAAGTCGGCAAAATAAATTACAGAGTTAAATGTGTAAGTAAACCAATAAGCGACTGATGTTTTTTGCATAGCAATAATCTTCATAATCACTTCATTTGCACAGCTATTTCATTTTAAACTTTAGGCACAGTTTTGAAGCACAACTCAGTGGAGATTTTTGCTGTAATCTATAAACTTTAATGAAAGCTAATTGGAGGACAAATTTTAATCTAATTAAAATGTGACTGCATAAAGCAGAAAGGATGAATGAAGCGAAATGCTCTATGGGGCACAGTTTTCAAACAATGATTACCCTGAATACTGAGTCAAATGAAGCTTTTGTAAAATGATGATCATGAACATTGCCAGCAACAGAACAACCTTGAGAAACTGCAAATGAAAGTTTTAATGTATTTAGTTTAAAAAGTGGACATTCAACTTACATCTGCATAAGGACTTTTTAAAAAGAAAATAGAAAGCAACTCAAACAGTCTCATCTAAAAACATAACAAGTAAATTAGCCAAAGGTGTACATTCCATCTAAGTTCTCATGATCAGCAGATGCAAATGTTTGCTGTGCACCGATGAGTTATGAGCCCTAATGAGATTTCAATGCTGAGCAAACAATAAAAATTTATGCATTGCATAGTTTTGGTGGCCTTTGGCTTCATGGTTAGTGTTACACCCTTTCAACAGCTTTGGTAATATAATATCCAGCTGGCTTTGGAGGTAAGGAAAATTTTAGGGGTGAACTGAAATTGTGAGAAATAATGTGATTGATTGCTTTGTCAGAATAATGCATTTCCACGGTATAATTGTCCGTAGTAATCTTAGCCCGGGTACGGATACATAGGTTCTAGTTATGTTCAGACACAAATTTTGAAGGATTCAGGTGAAGGATGGCTTTTCCAGCATTTGAGCCAGACCATTTCCTGTGCTGTGTACGTGTCCAGGGGTCTTGCAAACAGCCCCTCTAACAAGAACATTCCTGTCATAGTCCAGTAAACGGGAGAATTGAAAAGCTACACTTTCCCCAACAACTGTCATGTATCGCAAGAAAAGGAGCGGAGCACAGGCACAAAAAGAAACGCACAATAGATATTGGAATAAATGTATGTAATGGGGAGCAGGGGGGATGTGAATCAGGGAATTCAACTGGTGCAGTGTGAGGGTGAGCTCAAATGTATTAAATTTAAAAGACCCATTTATGGGTTAGGCTTTTATGAATCCAGAACCTTCACCATAATGATTGCCTGCATTACTCTACATAATATTAAAATCTTAGCATGTGATTAATAGCAGATTCCCTGCATACGTGTCACAACACACATCTGCAGCAAATCTGCCAGTATATTTCTGTGCTAGTTTTACTTTGGGGCCATAAAGTAATTCCTGTTTTGTGAATGAGAATAAACCTATTATGCACTAGGTTAGCTACACCCAGTTTCTTCTCTTCAGGGAAAAAGAGCTGCTTATTTGATACGGCATCTCAAATTTCAGTGTTCAGAAGTGAGTTTAAGCCTTGGCTAGATTTGCTTGAGCAAGCTGTTGGGATTTGCCTTCACCATTTCTTAGTTCTGTATTTTCCAAAACCTGTGCAAAGAATATTGAGAAACTTCTGGACAGCAGTAAACTAGTAGACTTAATTACAAAGTGTTTATTGCTAAATTTGTTAATGAGTCAACCTGCAAAAAAGATATATTTATCCCTGTTTCCTCTTAAAATAGTAGTAAAAAATAACTTCAAAAAAATCTTTTTCTTAAGCTGTTTGGTGATGCAGTTTTGCTGTTCACAAAAGCCCTTTTTCCCATCCGCAAATAGCTACCTTTCACGTTGCCCCAAGGGAACAGAGCATAGCTCAAATGAAGCTTAAAAAAAAAGATATTTTTCCCAGTTGTAACTCAAAGTGTATGCATATTCACACATGCACGCAAAATAAAAAGGAAGATGCAGAAGCATTCCTCCAGTCTGCCCTCTGAAAAGTCCTGTCGACCTGTTTCACTCACCAAAATGAAAACAGAACCCCAGAAAAACAACTTAAATGACAACAAGAAAACATGAGGAAAGCAACATCTGTTTTGCATTCTTGGCATCAAGTCTGCCCTTGCAACACAGGGTCTGACACAGATGTACAGGGTTATGACACCACTGAGTACCGCTTGATTTAAAATGGTGTAACAGAGCAGAATCAGGGCGCTGAGTTCGTACAACGCTGAGCAAAACTGCGGCTCTTGATCTCCTTTGCAGATGTGGGACTCAAACCACACTGAAGTTTTAGGCATCTTTCCATTGACTGATGCAAACTGTAGAGCAAGTCATATTCCTCTACCAACAATTTAGAATTTATTATTGACTCTGTACTTTCTCATCGTGTGTGTATTTTGTTGTCTGTAAAATCGCAGTGCTCTGTCACTTTCCAATAGACGTCGCGTTCAGAGAACCTTTCAAATGATACTACCTAATTAAGCTCTTCAGTTTTTAAGTAAAATAAAATACGAGCAAGGAGAGAGAAATTTAAAGGTACTCAGAAGAAAAGCAAAAATAGCTCCAATTACGAATCAATGATTAGGGAAATTTGGGAAGCCAGAGTTGCCAAGAAAGCAACTCTCTCAGCAGAGGCAACATCATTACCTGAGATGGCACAAAGGGAGCAATTCTCTCCCTGTTTGATTGCCCATCCATGGTTATTACAGAGACAAAATTAGCTCAACTCAAGCCTGGCACAACTTCACTCTCTCCAGTCGAGCTGTGTCAGATGCCAGGACCCGCTTGCAGTGTTGTCACCAACCACTAGATGTCTGTGTGTGCTCTGTGAAGTTCGGGAGGGGGTGATGCCCCTGGTGAACACGAGAGACAACACTGGAACACAAGCTGTGGGGAAGCCTATTAGTTCGTGTTTGTAAGTGTAACATCATTACTTTAATTAAGCCTGTGTTTAAAGCAGTTTATGCCGTCTAAAACTAAATTCCAGCCTTTCTAATTTGAGGCAAATGAGGAAAAGGTGCTTTTCCTGGTCCACATCTGTTTAAGACAAACTGTTTCCTTTACGTCTGTGTGAAGGACTGAAATGTATCTTATTGTTGTGAAAGTTTTGGAGGAAGTTGCTGAGATGTAAAATAGGCTCATCTTATTTCTATTCTGAAACAATGAAATACCAAAATACAAAACATCTGCTCCGTCAGTGAATTGGTAAAAGCTCGCTATTTAATCCTGCCCTGTATAGCCCAAACCAGAGTACCGCTGGAACCGTATTTTCACATGTACGATACAGCATACCTGGGTGCACAGAGGAACGCTGTGCATCAGATGTCAAGTTTAGTGTATCTTTTTTTAAAAAACCAAAACAAAGAAAAAAAATAAAAAAGAACCTAGAAGAGCAGATCTGGGTACAGAAATCTATTTCACAGTTCTGTTTATCAGGCAGTCCACTAGCTGACCAAGGTAGCTGCACCTGTGACCAGCTTTTCTGCAGAGATCTCCCAAGAAAAATGCAAAAGTAATCAGCACATGTTTGCCTTTCATTTATCTCTGTCATCCGGGAATAAGATACAGATAGTATCAGGAGCAATGAAAGGTACATTCAGATATTATTTTCAAGTTTTTTTGTCTAGACAGAGAGCAGCAACCACTTGTATCTCTATGGAACACATACAGCCCCCCTCCACACTCGCATCCTAGGCTGAAGGCCAGAGGGAGGTAGGAGGCTGTCTATATTAAAAAAAAAAAAAAAAAGTTTAAAACCACCACCTACTCATCAGGTGACTGGAGACTGTGGTTGTAAAATGTGCTGCAGGCAGAAGTTCTGAAAAATCCCAGAAAGTGTTGAAAACATCTCTAAACAAGGTATTTTTCTCCTGCCCCTTTCTTGCTAAAGGTCCCAATTGCTGCCAAGAAAACTAGTGAGCATGTTAGCTGCCAAATAAAAAATTTATGACAGTGTTTGGCAAAGGATTGTATCACTGCTTGTTTTATACATTTCCACAAGGCTCTTGACGGGCTGTTGGACACCTACGGCTCACTGATCACTGTGCTTTATCTGTTCTTTAATATATTAAAAAAGCAAGATGCAATAAAGTATGATTCAAACAATACATATTTTTTTCTTTTAATAGCCTCCTATAAGCGCTTGCTATGGTGAGAAAATAATTTCTAAACAACATTTCATATATAAAAATTGTTTTAAAAGCCCTTTAACTGACAAAGTTAGTTGTTATTTGAGTCACTTTCATAGTAAAAATACATGAATTTTTCAATTAAAAATGTATTGCTTTTGCAATTGTGCTTGTTATATGTTGGAGTCTGGGCCAATAAACCGCCTGTTAAAACATAAAGAGGTCCATTCAGTCAAAGTTGTGCCTGCCATTTATGTTTCAAAAACCGAGAAAATAATATGTTGGAATTGCATTGCTCACCAATATCAATTAGGTTTTCAGCTGTATCGTTAAATTAATGTTGGGGAAGAAAATTGTTCCAGTGGATTTAGTGGAAAAAATGTATTTCTGGATACAGAGTTAGCACACTGACAATAATAATTAAGCTGGCCAATGCTGAAGCAACACCCTTAAAAATACTTTCCCCATCTGAAGAAACAAAATTGTCTGTCTTTTCAAACCAGTTACCAGATTAGGCTTCCAGCTGATAATTAGTGCTGTTTAACGCAGATCTTGTAATTCGGAAATCTCAAAGCCAGAACGGTTTACTTTCTCTCATTATCGTGTGCTGCTGGAGATGGGAGGTTTGGAGTGTGGAACTGCACCTCCCTGCCCCATTTTGTAAGGAGGCAAAGAGCCTCCTCTTCTCTCTGGTGGCCAGGAGCCCGTGGGACACAGTCCGGCCATGATGTCCCCTTCAAAGGGGACAACCAGAGCATCGTGACCCTGTGCTGTCCCAAAGCTGCCCCAGGGCCATGCGGCTCTGCACCGTGCTTGCTTGCATCTTCGTGGCACAGAAAATATTTGAGAGCAGCCAACAGCACTATAAATGCTATACGCCTTGTATATGCTTGTGTATTTCATGGTATTTGATATAAAGTACTCAAGACAGACCAACATTAAGAGGATTATTTCAAACAGCATTAGGAGTTAATTTACAGAAGATTAGCTCTAAATCAGGCAGATATCATAAGCAAATTAGCATCAGTTGTAAGAGATACTGAATCAAAATGTGTGGTGGTTTTTAGTTTCTCCCTGTATGTACTTGGTGGAGGAGTAGTATCTTTCTTAGTTTCCCATACAAAGGTGTTACATCTCAAATAGTGAAGAACAGGTATACTTTTTTCCTACATGCATGCTATTTATTATGATGCTGTTTATTGGCAATGAAACTGCTTAACTCCAAGTACCCTTCCTCGGCTGAATATTTTATATTTCATGCCATTTCTTCTATGAGTAATGTTTTGTTTGGCCCTAGAAATGATGTCTCCATGGTGTGTTATAATATTTTAAAATAGGTAATATGCAGCTTTACTTCAGAGTAACATACTTAATCCTTTTTTTTTTCTGTTTAAAATGAGTCACATTTTAATGCCAACTCATAAAAATGAAGGAGTGTATAAAATGCTACATACTAGGGTGAAGATTACAGCTACTTAAAAATAGCTTCCTTAATATTTAAGCTTGTAAATTATAAATTTGTTTTATTTCCACAGGAGTGATAGTTAATTTGTATTAAAAAGCAGATTCTGTTCTTCAGTTGGTTTTCCAAATGTATTTTTCTGGCTGCAGACAGACAGGCATAAGCACCTATCCAATCCCTTCTTGGTATCGTGGTTTCAAAAACACTTGCCCACTAAGTGGGGAAGATAATGAAATGGATTGGACCATGATATTAAAGGCTGTGCCCTGAGTTGTCCTTGGGATTCTGAAAGTTTTGAAGTCTATGAATGGGATTCCCATCTCTGGAGAAATTTGTATTCTGCTCTCCAAGAGATACTAAAATGCTTAGTCTTCAGCATGCTCCTGAACATTTGGGTTTTTAACTGGGGAGGGAAGTCTGGGCAGTGTTTTACAATTTTTTCCTTTCCAAAGGACCAAATTCCTCTTGACAAGGTTGGCCTGAGGTCATGGATGTCTCCCTATGTTCACTGAAAGAGGAATCTTCGCTCCTTCCACGACATCATGAAAACTTACACCCACTCTAAGCCAGGATGGGCTTGCAGGTCCCTCCGGTTGCAAGATCTGCAAGTGCTCTTGCAGTTGGACTTTGTGCCCTGTAGTTTTAGAGAATGCGTGGGAGCTCGGTGTGGTTATTAAACCGAGGTGTCTGAGGTCATAACAAAGTGGAGGCATTTCTGCTCCCCTAATAGAAATACTGTAACATGCTGAAAAGAAAATACTTTAACAGTGGCAAGTATCTCCCGTCAACTAATTTGATAGTTCTCTATCAGGTAAACCATTTGTGAATACATCGATTCTTTTTATTTTTCACTGTTCTGTCTTCACTATTCCCAGGTTTTCTCTGAACCAGTTGGGCAAAAATTGATTTTTATTTGTTCCACTGGCCTTGTGGAAAATTAGCTTATGAACTGGTTTTTATAGGAAGACTCAAAGCACAGAACAGGTTGAAAAATAAGCCTATAGCAGTCAAAATTGTTGTCTGAAATGTCTTCAGACTGGAAGGCTGAATTTATTGCTCAAAACAAGAACTAGCATTGTGGAGGTGTGCAGTCCTGCTCATTATCACTGGAAAAGGGGGAACCAAAAAGCACAGTAAAAAATTAAATTTTAATAATGCTAGTGATATTTTCTAAATCCTTCTTGACAGAAAGATTCTCATTATTTTTATCTGTCTCAGAGTAGGCTCTTTTAATGCCATCTCACAAATGGCCTTAGCCATGATTGTTTTCCTTTCCTTTATAGCATTCGAAAAAAATGAATATATACCAAAAAAAAATCTATTCTATCATTCAAGAAGTGCCATGAAATGGTAACATTTTGGATAGCACATCTTCAGGAACAATTGCTGCAGATGCCTTCAAGTTTTTACAAAAGAGGTCAACATTGTCAAGACAATTGTAGAAAACTTGCCATACAAAAAGACGCCCAGTCAAATATGGTGTGATAAGGGGAAAATAATGCAAGCAAAGTATTTGTGTCCAGTCTCCAGCTTCATCACACCTAAAAGCTGTAGATTAGTTATTAATTAAAGTGAGGCAGGGCGAAAAATAGTACTTTCTTTCATCTGTTTAAGATATATATTTTAGTGGGTTGTAATGATTATGAAAGTCGATAAAATGCAGACTTCAGACATTTTTGTTTTCTTTAAATTGCACAGAATGTAAATTTAGCTATATTTATCATAAAAGCCAATGTGCAATCATGTATGTTCTTGTCATTTTATAGCTTGCATACATTTCTTCTGCTGGAGAAATAATTGCTTTAGCTTTGAGAGCTGGCGAGGGAGTTGGGGCTTTTTTTTGCTATTAACTGTTTGGGGACCAGGGCTTCATTGGGGCTTCATGCAACCGATGTGCGGAAGAATGCCATTACGCTGACAGCTGGGCTATCCACCCTCCCTCAGAGCTCTTTCTAAAGCGCTCGTAATGTTTGCTAAGGCCTATGGTTCTTAGTCATGCTCAGGTGACTAAATGTGTGATTTGTTCTTCTTGATACTTCAGTACCCTGAGAAAGGCTTCTTGGAGATTAATACAACCTTGACTCCTTCCACTTGCAGTTGCCACTGCACACATGATCTTCATTTAGACTTGCCAAAGAGAGCTGATATTGCCTCTGCTTTGCATGAAATGAATTAATCCCCACTCCAATTTTGGTTGGTGAGTTTTCATGGCCCCAGAAGCCACCCGCTGCTCCTGCTAATGACAGTAATGATGTAACTGGTTCCCTCTGTGGAAAGAGGGGACAAGGAGACAGGAGAAAGCTGAAGTTGCATCACAACTGTGCAGAGACATGTCCCCTGTCAAGGTCTCTCATCAGCAGAAGGATACTTTTATCCTTCAGAAATGCCTTCCTATGTGTTCTAAAAATAAGCAGTGAATAAAATCTGAGCTGGTAGAAGATGTACAGTACCCTCCCCTTTTGCCTTTTTATCTTAGGTCCCACATCCGTGAGGTCTTCTTTCAGGGTTTCCCTGTTCTTGCAGTTTGCATCCTGAAGTCTGCGTATACTTGTCTTCCAATCATTCCTGTAGCTACCTCTCCTTCCCGGGCCACTCGGCCCCCCCTCACTCCCCCCAGACTCCAGTGATCACCCAGGTACTATTTACACCTCCTGAGACTGCCAGCTCCTTGGGACAGGCCTAAAAAAAGCCACAGTAGTCCTGATGGCTACCAAATAACGCTATCCTCCAGTGCTGTTCATTTGATTTTTTTTACATTTGGGATGTATTGCAAGATTTCGATTGTGAATCAGATATCTCAATCAGTGTTTTAACTGTCAGATATCATCAAAATAATTTTAAATTTTAATCTTAATAGTGAGATTGTCAGAAGATGACACAGCAAGGTAAAAAACATAGTTCCTTGAGCCAAGGAAGCCCACTGCGTTTCAGGAGGCATTCATCCCAGGGAGGGATATCTCACTCATCCAGAAAAACTGTCAAAGGAGAAATTTATTTGATTCTGGTCAGAATTTCATGTGCAAATATGGGATCCATTAAAGGGAGATGATGAATCAAGGTATTTACTGCCTAATTATTGATTAACATCTTCTGCTTTACTGGTGAGTTTCATCTCTGCAATATTTCTGATTAAGAGAGATTACGGACACTTTACGATATGATAATGCCTTTCCTGTATGATTTTGCCTTCAGAGCTAGCAAGCTTTCATGCTTGGGCCTCATGGTCAAGCTTTTTGGGATATTCATCCTTACTTCATCTGTAAGCACCTAACCTACCCAACTAACTTAACTGACTAGTTCTCCTGGGATGCATATATGGCCAGGAAAAAGAGAAGGCAGTTCAGAGCAGGACTCTAGCTTATATACACAAGGAACTGGGAGAGATTATGTAGATATAATTTAGATGTCTAAAGCTGGATAGTGTGACTACCTCCCTGCACCTGTTATTACATGACTCATTCTTTCATTCAGGGCCCAGGTGGAAACACATTGATGTGGTTTGAGTGTAATATTATAACTGGAGATTGGTATCCATGTTACTGCAAGTAGACAGCCCCAGTCCTTAAGACTGAACTTTAAAGCTAAAGGATGTAGTGCTGCACAACTCCTCAGCCCTATCAACAATATCTTAGGCACCTTGTATGGCCTGTCTTTTTCCAGAAGCCCTGCTAGTCAGCTAGAAAAATGCCATCATTTTTTTATTCTCCATTCCTCCATTTTTGAGGCTTTAATTTCATTATCTGCTCAGTTTTCAGCAACTTTTAATGGATTTTCCCAAGGTCTTACACATAAGAAACTAGAGCCCCTGTCCCTAGGGGAGGAAGAGGCTCCTTTGGGAAGGAATTCAGAGAACACGAAATGAGGTCCTGCTGGGAATGGCCTGTCTCCAGACCAGAGGTGGAGCCCAGGCAGCTTGGCTTTTTTGGCATGAAGTAACCCATGGAGGGGTCCCATCCCCTCTCCAGCACCCCCTAAAGCCTTTTCACCTTTAAATATACAATGTCAATTACAATGTAATTGGTTCTTCTAGCTTGAGAACACAAAGAACTTGGACTTATTTTCAGAGCTTGGGGTGGGGGAGAGGAAAAAAAAGACTTGAGTATTTTCCAAATTCTTCACTTTTTCCAAGGTCAGCTAGAAGAGGGCCAAGGAGTTGTACGCAACTTGTGCAGATATTTTTTCACTGGTATTTCTGTTTGCTAATTTCAGTTGTTAATGATGAAACATGTCTCAAGTCAGATACTTCCAGCCAGCTGTAATTTTGCTAGGCAGGGCTCTCTTTTATTTCAGTAGGTTGCCACGTCTTTATGTTTTGCCACAGCCTGTCTAGTTCTTTTCAGTTGCTTTTATTTAAGAAGAGCATTCTGAAGCCTAAAGATGGAAAAGATGAATAGTTACTTGAACAGCCCCCGGATACCCTGAACTTAGAGATTTATCATTATGTATCTAAGGCTTTGCTTTACCAATCATAACATTTTATTCCCCTGTGTGGGGTCTAGTGCTTCCATTTGAAAGCTCCTGTTACATCGTAACAAGGATGTCCTTATATACAGTAATAAAGGTGATTGTCCAGAAGGTATCTGAGTATAGCTGTATTACTTTAAATTCACATTTAGTTTTGCCTGGTATGTATTTGCCTGTGTGACTAGATCTACACTTTGTGTTTGTTTGAATCTACTGATTTGCACATGAATATTGGGCACTTAAAAATCACTTACCACTGATTTGCATGCACTTATTTTCTTGCATGTTAGCAAAAACTACCGATCACAAATAAAAGGGCACCCAAACATGCAATAACCACATATTCAAAGTGACCATTTAAAATGTAGTCTTGTATACAGAGAACAAGCCTTTCTGCCCAGTAAAATGATAGGAATCACTTCTAGTTAAATCTTAAATGCATGTATTACAGTGAAACACTGTTGGACAGTGCTCCGTCATCAATCAGTCTGTGTTCTTGAGGACACTATTTTTCGAGATGCTTTCTTTAAGAATAAAGCCCTGTGTTGTAATGAATGTGTGCCAACTGATCCCCCAAGCCATTTGTATTTTTCTTATTTGTATCAGTGTCAGAGTTGAGCTTCTGTACAAATTTTTGCAGTATTTTATTTGTAGTCTTCATTCTTTAAAGTTAAGGACACAAAACTCTTTATGCACCCAGAGACTGCACTGGTTCGTTTATATCCTGTATTTTGTTAACATGTTACCGTGATTGCTAATTTTCATGACAATTGTTATTGTACCATCAGTGCTTAATGGCAAGGCATCATTATTCAATGCTGGTCAATCAGGCACTAAGACATGTGCAAGACATCAGGCTGAACCCATATAGATGTCGTGCACTCCCCTGCTAATGAATGCAGTTTTGTAAAAAGGTTTAAACACGGTTGGCATCCTTAATGTAAGGTTTGCAAAAGCTTATTCGGGAACTGCTTTGTGTTTATATGGAGCAGATCTAAACATGTCACAAACAGAGTTAGACCCATTGTGTGCATGTGTGTGTGAAGCTGCAGAGAGGAGCGAATCATTTTGGGTTTTGAAATGTAGAAAGGCAGCACAATTTCTGCCATAGCAGGAGTGGGGGGAACTGATTTGCCAGGAACATCAGTGTTTGGTAACGGATGTGGGACATGTTCTGCAAAGCAGTGGTTGCTATGTGCATCAAAGAGGTGATCCCCGAAAGTGGATGGTGTCGTTCATCAGCTCACAAAGTTGGCACTGGCTGGAGGGAGCTTCCAGTGCACCAGTGGTTGGAGATTATGCAGTATGACCAGAAGCCACGATGGAGGGTCAGGCATTTAGAAAGCAGGAGCAGAAGGAAACTCAACAGGAGTGGGATGCACTTTCTGCGTTATTAGTCCAGCACGCTCTTCCAATGCGTCAGTTAACGTTATCCTCGCATCTGCTCTAGTTACTGTTTCTGTGTGGTTTTGCACCCAAATATTTTGGGCTGCTATCCATGATAAACTAGATGGAACTTGGTTTAAAAGCACAGATTTTTCATCTCTTCTAACTCAAAGTAGAATGAGCCCTTGTGCTCCTAGAGTTTTGAGTATGAAAGGAACAGTAGACATTGGCTGTTAACGAGCTCCAGCGCGCCGGGCTCCAGCAGAACTTGGTGTGAGTTCAGTGCCTAAGCTGCATCGACTAAATGGTTAATTCATCTCATATCAACAGCACTATGATTCATAATGTAAACTTGAGGAATCCTTGATGTTTCAGTCACACATTCCTCTTAATCTGGCCATGCATTCTTTTAAAGCTACAGTGTGCTAACTTAATAAAATGCAGCATGCAAATGCACAAGTTTTTGCCTTCAGGCATTTCAGCCATGGATGTTTCAATGGGTGTCTTCTTTCAAGTATATATTCTTTCTTAAATTATTTACCCTGTAAACATGCTTTGCATTTTCAAAGAAGAATCTGGGTTTCCTCATTCACCAGATTTCGTTGAATTTAAGGTGTAATAGAGATAAAAGACAATCATCTGCTTCTTGCGAGCATGTTAGCCTTTGGGAGTTTTTTGTAGCGAATGTTAGGCCCCATTTTCTTCTCCTTTGGTATTCTCACTCCCTCCCCCACTGAAATTCCTTGATGCTTTGCCTAGAGCAATACCCACTGGCAGTGTCTGGCTGTGACAGTACTATAGGCTTCCCTACAGATGGGTCCTGCCAATGCCAACCATTGTTCTACCACTGTGAGCTGGCTTGACTGTCTTGGATCACTCAAAACCCCCTTTCCTCTTGATTTTTTCTTTACTCAGAAGGGTCACCCTTGCCTGTTGTCTTGAGATCTGAAATGTGCTGACACCCAGAACTTGTGTTCTCTGTCTGAGCAGCAGCTCCCAGACTCAGACTTCAACATGCACCGCTTGCTAAGCCCTCCTCGAGACTATCCTGCTGCTACCAAACGGCTCTGTCGTTCTCCTCCTGGCCCCATCCTTCTGGCAGTTTGCAGTTAGTTTAATTTTACTTGCTCACTTGAAAGTAAAACGGTAAAACTTGGTGTTATTCTTTTTTTAAAGACTTAAAATTAATCTTTAACTGTGGGCTTGAATATTAAAAGTATATAATGCTTCAGTGTAGGAGTCTGTTGATAACATCCATCCTATTTCATGATTAATTTGTTCCTTTTAATATGATATTCTTTTGCTGTACTGTGCAGACTAATTCAGATTCCTAGAAATTGAACTTTGATATGTATTTCCTAGATTCACACCGTAAGTGAACCTTCAATTAGCAGATACAGGTGGCAGCATGCCTTGCTCAATGTTCTCTTGACAAGGATTTTAGAGACGTGGACACCGATTAAATAATCTTGCAATCGGGTGTGTACTGCCAGAATATTAAAAATAAAGCATTTGGAGGATTTGGTGCTTTTTTCTTTTTCTTTAAGTCTCAGACGATGAAATGCTTTTTCAGTGGGCCAGAGATAGGAGGAGCTGATTTAAACACTCAGTATGTTATGTATGCCTTTGCCTAACTATGTGTTAGATTAGGCGAGTTTCACTCACAGTTAATCCTTTGTAAATTAGCATTATGGATGCCTTGGGGCCCACATCCCACAAATAAAATGGTTGTCAAGCCAGCTGCACTGTGTATTACTTAAGGCTGAATGTTTTAAGAGTTTTCATGCTTTTAATCTATTTCACTGCTGAGTTTCAATTTTGCTGAGTGTCTTTTCAGGAATGATGAGGGTGGGTGAGTAAATATATATTCTGGTTTTCATGCATTTGCCTGGGCAAATCGTTTGTTATCAGGTGTTTGGCAGAGAATGTCACACCCTGCCACAAAAGAGAAGCTTGTAAGTTCAGGTGTTAAACTGAAGTGCAAACCAACAAGAACCAAAAGCCCTTAATTAGCTTTATTTTGTTAGCCTGCTACACTTTTTTTTTTTTTTTTGGGGGGGTGGGGGAAGAGTGAGAAACATCCCTCCCTCCTCCTCATCCTTTTGGCAGAGTAAATATTGCCTGTTAAGTTTGAATTAGCTGTCATCACGAAAGAATTAATGCTGTGGTTGAGCCTTTCTAGTGAGGAAGGGAAAAATAAACGAGACAGATCTTAGTTCAGCTTTAAGTGATAAATGAGGACAAAGCAGCCCATTCATCTCCTGCTAGGAAAGTGGACACAAACACTAAAGCAGTTTTGCGGAAGACGTGTCAGCAAATGTGATCATTTTGTAACCTGTCAGGAGGATATAGAGCTAGTCCTTTTAGAGTGTCACAGGGGAGGGTGTCTGTCTGATGTGACAGTTTTCATCCATCCATTTACTGCTTTTTCTTTAGGTGGGGGGTAAGCAAGAAGAGAGCTGGAGTTGGTTAAAACTGCATTTTTCTTTACACTTTCCAGTGTAATTTGTATGTATATCCACTCGCATCCAAATGAAAAACATTTACCAAGGAAAACTCCCCTCTGCTCTTTAGAGTTTCTTCCCTCTCTCACTGCGTGAAATATGCACATTTTAACACATTACATTCCCTGTCTTCAAGTTGGAGCCTTGTACTCGATTTGGTGTTTCACAAAACACAGTTTCACCTCTTCTTACCATTGTTTGGTTAGTGAAGGCTTTGTTTTAATTTTGTTTTGGTTTGTTTTACAGAAGCACAAGAAAAAAATTAAAATAAATATAACTTAGGGTGCTTTTTTTGCACTTGATTTTGGTTTTTTAGGTTTTTGGTTTTTTTTTTTTGCTGTACCTCTCCAATTCTGATTATAAGCTTCATGTACAAATATGTTTTGCAAAAGTTCCTGTTTCATGAAGAGCCTATGAAAATATTCTTCCTTTGTGAGAATGGAATAACAAACACTGAATTCTTACAATCTGGAATCCTCCTGTAAAATGCCTCAAATTCTACTCTTTGTTGATTTATTCATTTTAATTGACCTATTAATTTCAGACAAAATCTGAAGTGATGTGCTGCCTGATTTTAGAATTTTAGATTTGTTGGATTTCTTCCAACAAATGATTGAACAATTTTAGGACTTTCTACTTCTGTCATCTTTTTATTATTACTAATTTCCATTTTTTTAATACTACATAGAAAATGTAACATTTGCCTATTACCATAAGTAAAGGTATGCTAAAGAGACGGGAGATGCCTTTACAACATAAGCTTCACAGTTTGACACTTGCTTCTTTATATCGTCCTTTTCTTCAAAACTATCTTTTATACTTTTCCCTTGGTATTTTAGTACAAGTAAGTATCTCATTGACATGTGTTTCCTTGAAATCTTGTACCTTAATAGTAAAATCCCTTGAAAATTAATAAATTGTTTCTGTTCAGATTAAAAAAGCTGTGAAGATTTCAGAATGGCTTTAAAAAATATACTGGTATTTACTATTACAGACCACCCTGCTTGGATTGCATTGACTGAGGACTAATTATTTCATTTGTTCTTAGAAGGTTAATAAGTTGTAACATGATGTATTTCAGTTATTCTAATATGTATATAAGTGTATGCATAATTAAGGTAAGTCTAATTATTTCCTGGATGCAAAAGTTGGATTTAATAGCTACATAAAGAAATGTTTGGAAGCACTGGAAATTGAAAGAAGTAAACAACAATCAAGACACGCAGAATGGCATAGGAAATAGTAAATTTGTGGGCATATGCCTTTTCTCCAAGATATTTATCTATGTGCTGCTTTTTATGATTTATATATATATACTGCTGGTTTGTTTTATTTACTGTTTTTTTTGTCTCTTCTGTTTTTTTTCAGGATCATCCAAAACCGGATTTTGATCGTTGTTCTGGCAGTCATCATCATCTTCACCACCGCGATGGCTATTTATTTTTCTGTCAGGGGACGCTGATATCTTTGTTCTTCACTAAACAGCAACAAACTGCTTGTTCTGAGTAATTAAGACAAAGTGGTCACATGAATCATTCTCTTGCACTGACAGAGTATCCCTCTCTTTTCCACTCTTCAACTCAGGTGCAAGTGGTGTAAAATATTTTGTATTATTGATGGCATAGTTGATGGCATGTGGAGTTGATTTTTTTTTCTTACATTTTTTGTCTTTATCTGGGTGTTTTCAGAATCTTAATATTTGTTGGAGTGAGGGCTTGTTCCAGTATAAAAAGACTTAATGTGTGTCAAATTCTACCCCAGACAATTAGCCTGTAAGTTGCCAGAGTTTAGCGAGGGAAGA